GTGTGTGCAAGTCCTATATGCAGAAACCTTAAACTTTATGAAATGATATTACATATGACCTGAATAAGTAGAAATTTAGCTTTTTAAATAGGAACGTTCCATTTTGCAAACATATTAATATATGGATTCAATGCAATTGTTTTCATGATCCAAATACGCTTCTTCATGGACATTGACAAAAATGATTCTAAAATTTGTATGAAAAAATAAAAACCCAAGCATAAACCAAGTCATTTGTAAAGGAGTACAGGGTGTGGATAGTAGCCTTACCAGATATCAAGACTTATTACTATATAAAGCTATAGTAACAAAAACAATGTGGTATTGGAAAAGGGAGAGACAAATCTGACCTTTAGAAGGGTGTAGATCCCCAAAACTCATATAACTGTACATTTAAAAGGCCAGATTTTACTGTATATAAATTATATCTCAATAAGAGAACAAAATGACCTTGGGTCTATTTCTGCTCTGTTTTGCTCCGTTGATCTATGTGTTTGTTCTTATGTGAGTACTACGTGGTCTTAAATACGTAGGTATATAGTAAGTCTTAAAGTCAGGAAGTGTAAGTCCTGCAACTTTTCTCAAGATTGCTTTTAATATTCTAGGTCCTTTACATTTCCATATAAACTTTAGAAGCAAATTATCAATTCCTAAAAAAAAATTTGGTGGGAATATGATTGGGATTGTGTTGCATCTTGAGATCAATTGGAGAAAAATTGAGACCTTGATACTGAGTTATGCTATCCATGAACTTGGAACTTGGTATATCCATGAATCCATTTATTTAGACAGTCTTTAATTTCTCTCAGCAGCATTTTTGTAGTTTTCAGTTAGAGGCCTCAGTTTTTTTGTCAAATCTATTCTCACATTTTTATTTTTTTGATACTGTCATAAATGAAATTTTAAAATATCATTTTCTAATTGTTTGCTGCTAGTAATTAAAATACAAGTGATTTTTGTATTTTGACCTTGGATCCTGTGGACTTGCAAAATTTACTTATTAGTGATAGGATGGCCTTGCTAATAAACTATCTAAGAGAGAAAAATAAACTATATAACAGAAAGATAGAGGAATAAACTCACTGTACATAATTGCCCCTTTGAAGAGAAAGATCACACCGAACAACTACCCCTTTGTTTGATTAACTACCTGTGACTCAAGTTGTCTTTAAGATTAACCACCTATTGTTCTATTTCAGAGTTTGTTTTAACAGCCTGGAAGAGACCAGAGTAGACAGCAGGATGCAAACTCCCCACCCCAGTTCCTGCCAGACTACATTCCAAGGAGACTGATAGACCAGCCTCAAGGAGAAAAGGGGAAAAAAAAAAGGAACAACAGATGCAACCATTTCACCATTTCAGATGCTGCCTTTTGCCGTCAGCTGGCAGCAATCACTTTTTCCTTTACTCCCAATAAAACCCCTCCAAACCCCTTACCCTCTCTGCTGGCACTTCTCCTTTCTTTCTCTTGTGCCAGTGCCTTCCCACCCCTTGGGAAGTAAAATAAACTTTCTTTCTTTAAAACTATTCTAATCTTTGGGCCGAGAATTCTTTTTCAACCCGTGCTATGATTCCCCAACCTAACAATTAGTTCTAGTTGTTTCACAAATTAGTTGAGATTTTCTATGTAAACAATCGTGTTCTCTGCAAGTAGAGAGTTTTATTCCTTTCTGTCTGCTCTTTATGATTTTTATTTCTTTTGCTTGTCTTATATCACTGGTTAGGAACTCTAATACAATGTTGAATATAAGTGATAAGAGTGGGCATCCTTACCTTGTTCTCAACATTAGGGCTAGAGATTTTCATACCTCTTTCATGGGGATGTAAAATATTAATAATATAACCACTTAAAAGCTAATTTACATTATCTTGTAAATTTGAACATTTGCACACCCTAGGATGCAGCAACTGCAATCCTAGATATATAGGCTATAGAAACTCTAACCCATATATAAAAAATATTCATAATAGAAAAAGAAACAACTCTAATTCCTATCAAGAGCAAAAGGAAAATGGATAAATTCATATAGTGAAATATGACACTGCAGTGAAATTTGATGAACTACAGTGACTCTCAACAACATGGATGAATTTTTTTTTTTTTTTGAGACAGAGTCTTGCTCTGTCACTGGGGTTAGAGTGTAGTGGCATCATCATAGCTCACTGTAACCTGAAACTCCTGGACTCAAGTGATCCTCTTTCCTTAGCCTCCCAAGTAGCTGAGACTATAGGCAGGCATCACCATGCCTGGCTAATTTTTTTCTATTTTGGGGGTCCCACTCTTGCTCAGACTGGTCTCAAACTCCTGATCTCAAGCAATCCTCCCACCTCAGCCTCCTGAAGAGCTAGGATTACAGGTGTGAGCCACCACGCCAAGCCATGGGTGAATCTTAAAATAATATTGAGTAAAACATACAAGGCCACATAAAGCTAAATACAGTATCATATGATTTTCACAAAACTCAAAAACAAGCTTTTCTAAACAATATAGGCACACACAGATGTGACAAAAATATTAAAAATAAAAAGCAATGGAAGGATGAGGAGAAAAGTCAGGGCAGATGTTACCTCTTGGTAACCAAGAAGCAGAGAAGTGGAAGGTTTGGAGTATAGAAATAGGTTCAAGTTTTTGGTAATGTCCTAGCTCTTGAGTTGGGAGTAAGATTTAAGGAGTTAACTATTTTTGCTTTAAAAAAATACATATACTCTTTGCATCAAAATATTTTTAATGATTAAATAATTAAGAAAAGCAAATTAACTGTTAGCATGCTGTATACTTTATTCTTGTTTTCCAGCACAATGTCCTGGAGATTGTTCCAAATCAGTACACATAGATCAACCTCATTCTTTCTAATAGCTACATAGTATTTCATTGTCTAAATATACCATAATTTATTTAATTCATCCTCTCTAATGATGAATATTTCAGTTTTTAATCTATAAAGAATGTTGCAATTAATATTATTATTCACTCATCTGGATGTATCCATAGGATCAAATTTCTAGAAGTAGAATACTAGGGCAAGAAGTGTGGGTGTTACAATTCTGAATAGATGGCTAAATTGTTTGTTCAGCTTCAGACAATGGGAGTTGGAGGCAATGGTGAGAAATCCAAATGGGGTTGTCCCTCAGATATTGTCAGCAGGAAGTACCTGAGTACACCTGTGCATGTGTGCATGGCTGCTTTGGCACATGTAAGGTGTTTGGGACATAGAAGTGTGGAAGTGCAGTGAGGATGACTGCACTCACTGCTTAAGAAAAGCAACTCTAGTGACATGAGGCCTCCGGGGCTGATGGACAGCTGTTCCATAGACCCATAGATTCAGCAGAACTCCTGCCTACTCCCTGAGGGTAAGTCTGGAGAGGTCTGGAAAGAAGAGAGGGGAGAGGCAGCTATCTTGACCTTGGGCACCTCTCTTGTTGGGGTGGCCTGTGAGGTGTCTGGGCCTGGCTTCCCACACGATGCTGGCCCAGCACAGATGCCTGGTCACTGAAGGGCATAAGCAAAAGCTACCCTGAAACTGTCTTCCCTGAGAGAGACAAAGGCCAGTTAAATGGGGCAGCCTCAGTGCCAGGAGCATTTGATTACAAATAATGAGTTCAAAGGGGACCCCACACACAAATTGCTGGGCAAGGAAACCTGTGTGCAGTTTTTCCCTGGTGTAAACAAAACTGTGACGAACACACTCAGTCCTCCTTTCTACCCGGCAGGCTTTACTCCTCTAGGTCCCTAGCTCCCCTACTCTAATGGCGACAGTATCCTCTGTTCTCCCTTCAGGTCCTCCCCTATGAGTCAGCACAAGAGGGAGGGAGGGAGGCATTGATCCTGGGTGCAAAATTTAAGGGCATATCAAAAAATCCAATAATCAAGATAAATAATATTTTGATGCAATATTTTAAGAATTCAAAATTCATGCAAAAAAATCCATGATGAATAAAATATCAAAACCTTAAACAAAAACAGGAGCCAATCCTGCATTTTCACAACCAGACTTCACTAAGCCTTGTTCCAATAAAACTTTATTTATATGCCTGAGGTGATGGTACCCCAATTACCGTGATTTGATTAATTCACATTGTATGCCTGTATCAAAACATCACATGTACCCCAGAAAGATATACGACTGTTATGTACCCATAATAATTAAAAAACGTTTAAAAAAATCAGTTAACCAAAAAAAGAAACCATTTATTTACAAAGACAGTGGCCAGATCCCACCCTACCTCCGTCGGTTTGCCAATATGACTTTAAAAATTTTTTTGTGATATATATTTTTTATTGTGGCAAAATACACGTAATATAAATTTACCATTTCAACCATTTTTAAGTGTACAGGACGGTGGCATTAAGTACACTCACATTGTGCAACAATATACTTTTTTAAATATTACATTAAAATATTATATATTGTGATTACTGAGTTTTGAGGTGTCGCCTTAAATTTTGCGCCGGAGACGAGTGGCTCTCTCTCTTTACACTAGTTCCGCGCGCCGCCTCCCCTCTTAGCCGGAGGATCCAATACTACCACTTTCTCCCTTGGAGCGGCAGCAGAAGTTATTCCAGCGGCGATCGCGCCACCGAGGATGTCCGTCCAGACAGCCACCCACGAGGGGAAGACTTGTTCCGCCGGCATCCGCCCGTCCTCCTCCCGCGACGGGACACACCTGGCCGGCGCGCCCTCTACCTGCCCAGGGCCACCTGGCGGGCAGCTCGCGGCGCCCCGGCCCGCCCCTCCGGGGCTTCCTGCCGGCCAATGGGGAGGGGGCCCCTCCAGGCTGGGGCCGCGTCCCGCTGGGCGGCCAATGGGAGCGCGGCATGCAAATGAGCAGGTGCGGTGGCGGCGGGCCTATAGCGGCGCCCGGGCTCCCGGGCTGTTAGAGGCGCGTCGGTGAAGCCACTCAGCAGTCGCCCGGGCTCTGAGCCGCGAGCTCCAGTCTCCAGCCATGGCCCCCGCTCCGCCCCCCGCCGCCTCCTTCTCGCCCTCCGAGGTCCAGCGGCGCCTGGCGGCCGGCGCGTGCTGGGTCCGCCGCGGGGCCCGCCTCTACGACCTCACCAGCTTCGTGCAGCATCACCCGGGGGGCGAGCAGCTGCTGCGGGCCAGGGCCGGCCAGGACATCAGCGCCGACCTGGACGGGCCACCGCACAGGCACTCGGCCAACGCGCGCCGCTGGCTGGAGGAGTACTACGTGGGCGAGCTGCAAGGGGACCCGCAGGTACAGCGGGCTGGGGTCACACCCCACCTACTCCCGCCCCCCTCCCCCAACTCTCGTTTCCCGGGTGAGCCCCGTTCACCTGCCCTCTAGGAGGACCCAAGGTGACAGCCTCTGCCCTTCCCTCCCTCCGCTTCCCCTCTCTTCTCGCCAGGTAACAGGTCACTGTCCCCCCTTCTCTCACCAGGACCTTGCTCTTCCTCTTTGGCGTTAGCCCTGACCCGCCCCCATCCGCTAATTCTCCCACCTCCTGAGTTTCCCCTCCTTCCACCTTGCTCCTCCTTAGCCCTTCCCCCCTGACAACTCCCCCAGTTTCTGGCCCCAACCCCCGAACGCCCCGACGTTCCTTCCTCTTCCCTTATCAGCCTCTCCCTCTTTGCAATTGCTCTCCATTTCTGTTCGGATAGGCTCACCTGCCTTCCCCTTCCAAGGCTCACCTGTCCTCCCCTCCCCATCCCAGCCCACTGCTGTTCCAAAGAGGCACAGATCGGTAGCCCTTCCCAGCCAGCTAGCTTGGGTTTCCTGGTGCCTCGCCCCGGTGCAAGACCTGGATGAGTGGATGAGGTCCAGGGTGGGTGGAGCGGTCCAGGCAGTGTTGTGGGTGGACTGTGTCCTCCAACCCCTCAGGCCTCCCTTTGTATCTGTCCTATTCGCTGGCTTGGGAGTCCAGAAGAGTGAAATGAAAGGCAAAATCCAGTTTTGCAGAGGAAAAGGGAATATTAACACTTGTAACTCAGACGAGGTGCTAAGCTGCAGGCTGCTATGCCGTACAAGCTCGTGGTAGTTAAGCCTTCAACCGAACCTGGGGTAGGTTTCGTTATCCCCAGTTTAGGATGTGGAATCTGAGGCTCAAAGAGGCTCTGTAAAGGCGTCTAAGGTCACCTAGCTAGTTAGTGGAAAAGTCAAGTATATTTGACTCCAAAATCGGTGCTAGCTCCATCCCAAGAATCCTCGTGGGCAGGGGAGACACACCCTATGCACTGAGCTCCAGGTAGGCTCCGCCCAGAAGCGAACTGACTTCTTGGGCATCCCCCAGGCCTGGCTGCGAGACTGGTGACAGTGGAGCCATCATGCTTAAATACATAGCAGTCCTCCGTTATCTGAGCGAGATACATCCTAACATCCCCCAGTGGGTGCCTGAAACCACAGATAGTACCAAACCTTATGTATACAATGTTTTTTCCTATGCATACATACCATGATGAAGTTTAATTTATAAATCAGGCGCGTAAGAGGTTGACAATAACTAATAATAAAATAGAACAATGATGACGATATACTGTAATAAGAGTTATGTGAATGTGAGCCCTGTCTCGAAATGTACCATTGTGCTGTACCCACCTTCTTCTTGTGATGACGTGAGATGACAAAATGTCTGTGTGGTGGGATGAAGTGAGGCGAATGATGTAGGCATCGTGACGTAGAGTTAGGCTGCTACTGAAAACTGATTTAAAACTTATGAATTGTTTATTTCTGGAACTTTCCATTTAACACTTTTGGATCGTAGTTGACCGTGGGTTACCGAAAGCATGGAAAATGAAACCGTGGCTGAGAGCGGACTATTGTAAACCAACAGTCATGCCTCACTTGTAACCCTTGCTTTCAAGATGAACCCAGCAAGTGTGTTTAGATCCGTGGTTGGAAGGATTTACCACTTGCTGTTCCAAGTGGCTCCGCCTTGGACCATCTTGCCTGATTCTTCAATCATTTATTTATCGAATCACTACTTGGTTCCTTAATGGGTCAACAGCACAGTGTGAGGCATGGGAGGCACCAATGAACAAAACTAATATGGTCCCGTCCTCACAGAGCTCACAGGATAATGGGAGGGAAAGGGGACGTACTAATCATGTGATAATTATTTAATCACATGGCGATATCGGAGTATGGATCTGGAGTGGAGGGCTTCAGGGAGGGCTTTTTTGAGGAAGTGACATTTACACTGAAAGCCAACTGACAAATAGGTGACTCGTGGTAGGAAGAACATTCCAGACAAAGCCAACAGCATGTGCGAAGTCTCCGAAGGGAAGAGCTTGGTAGTCAAGGGGCAGAACTAAAACCCATGTGGCAAGAGGCTGGAGGTCAGGCGAGGCGTGCAGCAGGAGGAGGCCAGGGCCAGCCGAGGCCGGATCACGCAGGGCCTCACAGGCTGTGGTCAGGGTTTGGCACTTGGTTCTAAGAACCAGGGGAAGCCGGGGAAGGGATTCGAGCCGGGACGTGGTGTGGGCCGATTTGCATCTTTGGAAGAGTTCCCTGGCCACAGCGCCAAGAAGGAACGGAGGGAGTGGACGTGAGGGACCAGGCAGGAGGCTACCAGGTGGCTTGCACTACGGTGGCTGTGACCAAGGGGAGAGACGGGGCGAATTTGGGAGATTTCATAGGTAAAGCGCCAGGACTGAGCGTTCTGTGGTGGAAACCCCGTTTAATCTCAGAGGCTGATGTTTGGTGTCAGGTCATGCTGAAGGTGCAGAAGATTTAGCTGTAGATGTAAGAAAAACTGCAGGAAATTAAAGAGGTTGAGACCAGAATAGTAGAGACAGCCAAGTTTATGGTGGCTCACGGGGCCCGCCCTGTGTTGTCACTGTGTCCTATAGACAGGAGCCTTAGGGTGTGGCTTCTGCCAACACTGTCCTGAGTATCACGTCTGCCCTAGACTGCCCCATCTCCCAGCTCTAACCTCCCAGCTCTTCGCTTTGCTTGGCCTTACCTGGCCTCAGGGAGGACCCGGAAGGAATACTGAGTCCACTGTTGCTTCCAACTTGTATGCTGACCTGGTACCCTAAGAGCCCAGCATGGCCACATTGCAGGCATCCTTATTTCTGGGCCCCAACCTGAGGATGTGGGAAAAATTGAAAACTAACAAGGCACCTGCAAGCCCATGGCGCGAACTTGACCTATGCCACAGTAGCCCAACTCTCCAGTTGCCTGTGAGCTTCTGCTTGCAGATTTCTAATCTAGGAACTAGCAGGCAACTAGAGTTGTCTTTAAATCGGGGGAGAGAGGTAGTCAAAGGAGAAATCTGGGGCATGGCATCTTTTCAGCAAGAAACCTGGATGGAGGCAAGACATTCCTGTTCTTCTCTCTAGCTATGCCTTTCTAGCAACCTGCAAGCTGCCTTCTCTACCGCCCTTCTCTCCTCCCACTGGACCAGGGATGCTGACACTTTGATGTTAGAGCCCTGCCTCTACGGTGCGGGGAGCAGGAGGGGTGTTGCAGGGAAGAGGGTGCCATGGACCAGCTCTGCTGTTTGGGCCTCGTTTCTGAATGAAGGACCTTCTTTCCTAGCTTGGTGCTTGGATGGGAGCGTCCTGGGTCTTCTCCCAGAGAGGAGACCTGGCTGCGTTTGCTTTCCCTCTTCCCCACTTTGCCATGCTCCCTCTGTGAACACACTTGCACACACATTCACGCACACACAAAACAAGTCAAACTAGTTTGAGCCAACATACTAGGGGAGGGAGCAGGATAAGACAAGGTCTGCCATGGCCTTGGATGTGGGGAGGCCAAGCGGTCCACCTGGAGCCAGTGAAAGAGCCATGGCTGAGCAGGGCGGGTCCTCAGGGGCCAGTGGAGTCAAGCTCCTCACCCCAAGCTCAGGTGAGAGCAGCGTTCTTCAGGTTGCGGCCACATGCTGGTAGGGTGTGAAGTCTGTGTGTTGAGCTGCTACCAGCATTTTTCAAAAAAGAAATAGGCTGGGCACAGTGGCTCACAACTATAATCCCAGTCCTCTGGGACACTGAGGCAGGAGGATTGCTTCAGGCCAGGAGTTCGAGACCAGCCTGAGCAAGAGCGAGACCCCGTCTCTATAAAAATAGAAAATTAGCCAAGTGTGGTGGCGTGCGCCTGTAGTCCCAGCTACTCAGGAGGCTGAGGCAGGAGGATCGCTCAAGCCCAGGAGTTTGAGGCTGCAGTGAGCTGTGATGATGCCATGACACTCCAGCCTGGGCAACAGAATGAGACTCTGTCTCAAAAAAAAATAAAAAAAGAAAAAAGAAATAGACAAGGAAAGAACTTTGGGTCTAAACCTCCTTCCAAGGCCTTAGATACTGTGTTTCCCAGAGTTTCGCCATCCATGAATCACCGTCACCATTTTTTTCTGAATTGACATGCCACTTGCACTATTATATTTAATATTTATCTTTAAATTGACTCACTTTTTAGTTTATGATTTACTCACCCTAGACAATAATACCAGTGAAAGCACAGGTCTTTACATGTACTTTAAAGTAAACATAGAACTATGAAAATAACAAATGCTCATCCTCATATCCCCTAAGTTCATCTTGGCCACCACCAGTGGCGTCTATACCACACACTACGGATCATTTTCTTGGGGTGATGAAAGAGATGAAATTGTATCTGAAAAATGTGTGATGTGCATTTTGCTGGTGAGAGAGTGACATCTTTCACCACAGCCCAACCGGGGTTCTTCCTCAACCCCAAACCTGCCACCAGGGCTATGACTACTGTTCCCTGCCACACCCCCAGACCTAGAGAGGCCCTCCTGTGAGCAAGCAGGGGGCCATGCCAGCTGGGTAGGGCCCTCTGTTTGAGGAGACTCTGGGGGAAGTCAAGCCTTGACTCCCCAGACACTGGTGTTGGGGTAACCCTGACATCTGAGGATCTCTGATGCCGTATTCTAATCCCAAGGAGTGTGTCTCTATCTCTGAGTGGCCGAGAAGACCACAGATTCTGCCACATGCAGCTCTGCCAGGCTCTGCGTTCTGGCCATTCAGAGCTTCGGGGCTTGGGTAATTAAACAAGGATGGACAATAGGGAGGAGATCTACATGCAGGGAGACTTGGGGTTCCCTCCTCACCCCAGGTCCCAGAACATCTTGAGCACAGCCCAACTTAGAAAGCCGGTCTGAGCTGAGAACGGAAATAAAAGCTTACGTCTGGGGAGCTTGCTTAACTGCTGTCCTCCTGCAAAGTGGAGGGAGATGAGCAGCCGGCTAACGGAAGGGAACTGAGACCCACTTGGCCTGCAAAACGGCTTCCCCACGG